CAACTCGTCGATAGCAAGTCTCGCCGGTCTCGCGGCGTGATCAAAGCTTCCGTAGCACGTCGAAACGCTGCGTGTGCCTTCGCACGCTTGGATACCGATCAAGAATTCACACCATGCGGATGTGTTTTGCGAGTGCAATGTGCGTGAAGCCTTATGTGCCTCTGGAGCAGAAATTTACTTTACTCTGACGACTGTATTTGTAACTTTCGGCACTCGCGGTCCAGAAACGAGCTTCATCCAGCGTCCAGTGGCGACGGAATAGAGGGGAAGGTACGTCTTTTTTTCGTCGTGAGACAGTTTACAGAATACCGTGCACAACAGCTCCTCATCATTCATCCGTGATAGCTCATTATCAACCTACTTAATTTTACTTGACGTTTGAGCGCGGCTCGCCTAATTCTTATTGGTCAATAGATTGCACAGCACCATATGGGCCGCGCTCAAAAAAGATTAATTTTCGCCGTCTTGTAGTTTTGCCTTCGAAAACCCTCCTTGCTCCATAGCATTGCTCTATTTGTGTTGCCATGTGATCCATTCGAGTAGATTTGAAGCATAGCCATGGTTCATAGTGCATAAGAGCAACCGTACAAGTTGTTTCTCCCTTTATTAATAGCAACTGGCCGGAACAGCTGCACGATCCAGACCTCCGTGGCCGATATATGACGCAAAGACATCTACGCGAGACGCACCTTCAAAACCTTGCCGCGGCGCCGATTCTTGATCGGTATCCGAGCGTTCGAAGGCAGAGGGACACATCGCTTCGGCGTGACAAGGAAGCTTTGATCACGCCGCGAGACCGGCGAAACTTGCTTTCGACGATTTGTGCCTTTTTCCTGCGGCACTGCGCTTCCGTAAAAATTTCCACTTATTCTCAATGGCAAGTCTCACGGCTAGCACAGGGTTTTAAATAACTTTTCGGCGAATGAATGACGATGAATGAGTAAAAAACGTGTCTTCAGCACGCTGCCGCCAGCCTCCGCAACGCTCCAAAAACGCGATCTTTCGACATGCAAGATAGCCGTCCGGTGGCTTCACTCGCGGGAGCGGGAAGCGTGATCCAGCAATTGTTATAGAGATCAGTGGTTTAGACACAACCACCAAAGATAATCAGTCTTGGGTCGTGGGTCATCGAAGGCAAACACTCAATACTAGAAATGGACAAAAATATAATACCCAGTTTTGTGACTTCTAAAAAGCTACAAATATGTTGATTGAAAAAAAAAAGTAGCCCAGCCACGTCACTTTCGGTATCTTTCTCCTCCTTCGTTTCTTCTTCCTCCCCAGTCCAGTTTCGGTTTCAAGCAGTTGAGTTTTTTTACTTTATTAAAAATATACGTAACACTGTAGGAAAATATTGATTCAGTAGTCTTCTGACACCATAATGGCTCGCCTGGCCTAAAAAAAACATGTTTTGGGTGGTGTCAGACACTTCCTTTGAGTCCGACAGAGTTCGAGGGATGCTATGGCAACAGCTGCGTCGGCAACAACAAAACCAGTTTTTACACAGTGTTGTTGGAGCCGACGCTGCTGTTGCCATAGCAACCCTCGCCCTCGGTCGGACTCAATTTAAGTGTGTGAATCGCCCTTTATACTTGCGAAGACGGTCGTTAAGACAACGTCCTGTTTGCCCTATGTATTGCTTTCCACAGGAAAGGGTGAAGGAATAAACCACACTTTCTATGCAAGGAACATATTTGGTTTTATGATTTTTAAAGGGGTACTCCGCCGATTTCTTCATGGTCCCCGATTTGCTTGAAATTTTGCTAAACTCGCCAAACAACATCACCAAAATAGTATCCCAAATATTAGGTCAAAATAATTTTTTTTTCACGAAGTTATTGAATTTACAATTTTGGTCCTCGCCGTGTTTTTCAAACTGAAAGTCTCTACTGGCAACAATGAAAAAGTGACGTCATTGGAAGTGCAGGGGTTCACTCTTTGGACTGTAGAATTTGTTCCCAACTGATTTGAAGCGGTTTCATGGAGTCAAATGAATGCCTTGGAAGCTCGCTCCAGTCCCCGCGCTCCAGCACGGAACAAATAATTGGCATATTCTATTTTTTAGACTGCTCGCCCGACTGGCAAGCTGAACTTCCACTGACGTCACGGCCCTGAAAAGGGCGGGTATGTTTGAATGTCTGTTTTTGCATCATTTTCATTTGCCGATTTCGCAATAACTATTATGAATTTCACGATATTAAATAGCATTCCAGAAAGGGTAAAGGCCTGGGAGTCAGAAAATATAGTTAGTTGAGGTAGCTCAAAAATCGGCGGAGTACCACTTTAAGCAGCTACTGCTGCTCTATTTTAAGGTGTTTACTTTTTTGCACAGGCTGCAAAGTTTGTTCGTGTGAGCCAAGAGGAACAAAAAAACACTTCTGCCATTCAACTCTGTGCATTCAAAGCTCGTTAAGAGGGTCATTGTGCGGGCATTTCTCAAGAACTCAATTACAAAATCATGCAAGCATTTGGTTCATACCAGCTTCGACGTGTAAATCTCAAGGCCGAGGTGTGCAGGGTACTTCACTTGCATATCGACGTCAGTAGCTGAGCGGCTCCTCAAAAAAGTTAAACAACAAAAAAGTCAAACCACAAAGACAGGACAAGAAGGTCGTTCCGTATATTCATAATTTATCTCACTGCCTCAAGAAAATAGCCAGCACAATAAATGTAGAGGTCGCCTTTTCAGCTCCGAAGAAACTTTACAGCCCGTGAAAAAAAGTGAACACAGGAGTTTAAACCAGGATGACCTTTGGGGGATCGGGCAAAAATAAAAATAAAGACACACTTCCCGCCTTCTTTTCTCGGAGAGGGAGACGCCAATTTTCCTCTGGCCAAATCATGGCAGCATTACTCCTACTCCACACCCGCTGGGAGACCGGGAATTTGTGACTTTGAGCAGGAACCACGCAGGAGTGTGTCCCAAGTTCTCTCCCTCCCACCTGTCCCCCAGCTGTGGTAGTTTTAACTGTATTTAGTACAGTTTTTCCTATTGTCGGTGACGGTTGAAAAGTGGAAGCTCCTCGCGAGCAATCGTTGGAAGAAATCCTCTGCAGCATTCGCTCTGCTAAGGTGGAAAGAGGCCCAAAGGAGCTTCCAGTTTACTCTTAACTTGTCACCGGCAATAGATAATTACACCAATCTTCTGCCTCCTCTTTTTGAGGTTACATTGCAAGCATCTTGTATAGTGCTTCATTCTTGTGCCACTCCTATTATATTCCATGTATTGGAATAATAGTATTGATAAATAAACAGAAAGCCAAGTGACTAACCAGTGTTGCAAGACAAAACCCCTTCCCCTGACAGAGATGGCATTAATGACACTACTGTAGTGAAATTACAGTAATTGAATTACTCTTTGTTGTAATGAGTAACGTAATGAATTACTTTTCTAGGCTGGCAATTTCGAGGAAATTACTCATTCTTAAAATTACTTTTGTCCCAAATAAAAAAGTTTGTACGAGTTTAAAAAAAAAAGTGAAAAACTTTGTTGCACGGTGAAAAGGCATGAAAGGGACTTCAAAGAAAATAAACGACAACAGTCTGAGTGCAATTCCTCATACAAAAAACTACAGACGTACAAAGCCGGGCTGGAAAGTCGAAGGTGAAGAGCATACGGGTAAAGACATCTCTGGAAGGCAACGGCTCACAAACTCCAGGCAAGACAGGTTCACGGCGTCACGTCATCGCGGCTGACAGTGCGGTGGGACCATGAGCTCATTAGACCCAATAACGAACCTTCCATTGATCACCTGACCCGTCCCTTTCTCTGAGCGACGGTTTGAAAGAGAGCATGGTTACGTGGCGAAAAATAGACATGCGACTGTTCCAATGAACATATAGCTTCCACTGCACTGTCAGCTTAGCCTATGAACGGCTTATAGACTACAAGACATTGGGTATATCACAGTGAAGTCAACACATTTTAAAACCTGAGAGGACAAGACAAACAAATCCCTAGCTTTCTTGCTCTTTTGTTAAGCAAGGTCAAACCGTAATCATTGACCATTGTGAGTTGTTGTTGTTGGATACGTTTTATTCATAATTAGAAGGGGTACGACGGTACCGGTTTCATGCCTTGTCGTGAAGGGGAAGGGTATAAGGATACAGGAATGGGAGAGGGGGTGCAAGGGGGGGAGGGAGAGAGGGCTTACAGAAGGCCGGCCAGACCGGCCGTCCTCACGTAAGCCAAGAGTGAGTTGAAGACCCGCCTCTTGACGTCTGTGGGGCCTGTCGGTGCCGTCCAGGCCACGAACGTCATTTGTGGTGGTGGACCGAGCTGCGCGAGTGCTATGCACCTCTCCTTTAGCCTTGCCGGGCACCTATTGTGAGTAACGAACGACCGGAATAAATAATCCCAAATGCCTTGTCAAAGCCCAAGAACGCTTCATGTGTACCCTTAGCCTTGTTAAAGGGATGCCAAACCAAACATTGCTGCGTCCATAAGTAACTCACAATCTTTCCACGAGCCAGCAGCCACCGGTGTGCACGAGCACAAGTTACGAAAGTGACGTCATAGTCATCCTGCTTAATTAAAGGTGCACTTAAGTGGTTTCTGAGATCGTCAGTTTACGGTGGTAACGCGATTTACGTGCTGAAAGCATCCCAAAAATCTAAAAATAACAGGCGTGAGTGGCCTATTTCAGTTAATAAAATGTTCAAAGGTCGCGTATACGCCTTTTCTCGGCAAATTCCCTGGGTGAGGCAGTCAATGAAGGAAGATTTGGAGTGATTTGTGTGTTTAAAGGGTTGATGGGCAAGAAGGTTTGGGCTGAAGGGTCCGACAGGCTGAACGATCTGATGGGATGAAGGGGTTTGATGGGCTGAAGGGGTTTGAAGCACTGAGGGTCCCATAGCACATCAGGGCTGAAGGGTGTATTTTCAATAGGCAAGTTACAGACTGAGGAAAAAACAAACACAAACAAAAACAAACAAACAAACTGCCTAGATGCACAGCTTTGTGCATCAGAGCAGTGTAATTAGCAGGAAACCATGTCATATAGTTTACAAAAAGGCACTTTAATTTTATTTGTACAATTACAACCTTTGGTGAACAAGAACTAGAAGCGACCAAAAAAGACACAAGGGCAATAATGCTTTCGTTGTGCCACACTGATAGGGTTCCTGCGTGAGACCATGATGCAACGCTACCACCAGTACGTAAATTTCCCCGAAACCTGTCAGAATCCATGTTGGAGGCATCAGTCACTGTTATGCTATGTTCCGTGTGCTTTGGGGCCGTGTCTGCACTGTAGTTTGTCCGCTACTCGAGTTTTAAAATGGTCAATTGCACCGTAAATAATTGTTCCAGCTGTAAAAGTCGGCGACAAAATGGAGCTATGGCCAGCAGTATTGTTTTTTCTAGAATTACGGCAATCATTGGGAACCAGGACAAGGCGATGCTTGAGCAATTGGTTTGCCAGCGTCACGAATGGCTCCGGCGGATATGCCAGCACAATCTTGAACAGGCAGGTAAAGATGGGAGCAGAACATGGCGAATCCTGGGAGCTAATATTTCCGGTCCCAAGAGGAAGAATGAGAAAGCGACAAAGGAGCAAAGAAAGAAAGCAGACGATGGGTTAGCCCTGTTTGTTTTGCAGCGACAAGTTGAAGTTGCTCGAGCACTTGTCAATTTTGTTTTATTTTGTCAATTTTGTTTCATTTTTGTCAATACGTGATTTCGGTGTTTGTCTGCAAAGTAAGAAAAAATAACAAGATACAGACCTTACAAGTGATGCTTTGATGCTTCTATAAGCATATTAAGGAGTCGCCAGCGATATGGGCTGGTTGGGACCGGCAACCGGGACCGCTGATATCCGTGTCTATGGCCCGCCCTTTTGAAGCGACCAAATGCATGGAACCTTTCACTCTAGATTATTATACTAACTCTCTGATCTCGAAGAAAAGATTCATACCCCAACTAAGGGTTTGTAGACTGCACTTCGTGTCGGGTGAGGAACCTCTTTGCGATTGACTATGACAAGAAAATATTCTGAAATGTGGTTATATAAAGACGGCTCTATGACTCTACGGCACTACTGCTGCCTCAATAAGACGCTGAATGCCTCCAACATGGTGCCAAGGCACAAATAGCAGACGACAATGTTGGTTTCGATATCAAGTCTAACCGGAAGTGACGTCAGGTGCAAGAGGTTTATAAAAGGTGGTGTTGAGTTTCGAATAGTTTTAAACTGAAGGGAAAGTTTAAAATGTAGTCTATTAGACAAAGAATAAAGCAAGCAAAAATGAGAATGACAACTTTAAGGCCCTCAACAAACGTTGTCAAGCTTTAAACATCCTATTTTGCAATCATCATTGGCGTTCAACGGTTATCCAGGTACATACATATATTCAAGTTTGAAGAGTTTGTAAGGCCCGGAGAACTAGTTTCATCAATCGCAAGAACTAAAAAGGAAGAGGAGTTTCAGCAACAGTTTGACTTAGAAAAAAATCCTGCCTTATGACCTCCAAAGACAAAGAAGCAGAGCAAATAGTAATGAGGTACCTGAAGCAGCCTGCCTGTCACTGCAAGTAACAAATGGTACTTTCATAATTTACCTTGCAATGTGCCGCAATGTATGCAATGAGTCATCATAAAAAATTCATTGCTCAGAACATGTCACGTCACCTTTTGGTCGGGCAAAGCAACGCATGCTGCACTGGCTAACATGATGCATAGTCTGTTGCGGTACATTGTAAGGTGAAACTAAACACAAGGAGTTGAAATTCCCAGTGTAGTGACTAGTATTTTGTTGGATGCCTGGCACTGTTAAAATTTAAATCATCATAATTTTCAATATTTTCCCAGATAATTTCAGCCATTCCTTGACTAATCATGTTAAGCCAAGCTGTCGTGCACAACTGTTGATCCCTAAGCAAGTCGGGCAATGACAATGATATGCTGTTGTCAACCATGTAACACTGCTTGTAGGACGAAATAAAATGTGTAATGCATCTATCAACATTTGCATCATTTGTCGGGAACCAAATTGTGGTAGATTTAAGGGGAGAGTTGGCTTTAAAAAGCTGAATAAGTAAAAGAAATGTTAGGGATCTCATAAAAAAATGTTTGTATGGTGTCACAAAGCACCTTTAAAACCTTTGTAGTGCTAAAAGCGCCCAACTGATGCCTAGCAAGAAATGAGATCAGAATCAAGAAAAGAAGCCATCATATACCAGATGCTTCTGCGAATACTTTCACAAATCCCTACAAATAGAGTGTTTCAGAAAAAAAGAAACAGTTTTCGGGAACGAACTGTCAGCCACAGCGAACATTAGAGAATGCAAAAAACACGCTATTTAGCAAAATGACTACCTATAATTTACCACTTAAATTTTTAATTGGTGAAAATAAACATATCGTTCCCATTATAAAATTTCTGAGCATCATCAAAGACTCCCTAATCAGTCAATTTTAGGAAGAGGAGAATCATGTGGAAAGCACACGGGTAAACAAAGTTACCACTCGTGCACGAGTGCACAAAGTTACCACTCGTGCACGGGTCCACAAAGTTACCATTCGGCTGGTGATGTGAAAATGTGATCATTCACATTTTCGCATCGCCAGCCATCTGCCTGCTGCAGAAGTGGTAGGCTCGGCGCACAGCTGCACTTTCCACATGCTTCAACTCTGAAAATTGACTGATTTAGGGGTTTTCGATGGTGCTCAACAAGTTTTTAATTAGAACCATGATTATTTTCACCAATTGGATTAGTCAATTAGTAAATTTTAAGTAATTTTTATGCAAATTTGTGATTTGTTTTTTCTTGCAATCCCTGGCATCCATTGTGGCTGTTAGTTTGTTCCCGAAAAGGGTTGTTTCTTTTTGTCAACCACCTTATTTGTAGGGATTTTTGAAAGTATTCATAGAAACACGCTGTACTCCTTGCACATCTCCAAGGTCACACGGATGTTGCTTGCTCATGCTTCCTAGGATATACGCCTGCTGCAATTGGCTGAAGGGATCTTGGCATAGAACAAACACTTCGCAGCATTAACTTTCCTTCTTGCTTCTTTCACTGCACTGCTTCCCACTGAAGTTTCACTTTCAACACAGCCTCTCAAACGAAGCAGGGCACTTATGCCAACAAAGGACCATTTTAGAAAATCACCACTTCAGGAGGTTATGGTAAGAAATTATGTGAGCACATGCTCAAGGAACCACGAGTACTCCCTGCTGGCTCCACTGAGCTGCAGTAACTTAGATTGGGTGCCTCCAAAGCCCCTTTTGTGCCTATTGTAGCTTAGCTTTTTGCCTCCCTTCATTCTAATAACCTCTCCTTCCTAACACATGCATCGTTTCGTCCTGGGAATCCCCGAACCCCATTTTCCACCGGGTGGTGCCAGTTATTTTTTAAAATTGTGGCTTTGTGAATGTTTACAGTCTTTGGGGCTTGAAGTAAGAAACCTCTTAGCGCACCTTTACAAGACTGGTCTAAATTTCGTAACACTGTTCACAAAACTGACAAGGTTTGCGACAAAAACCAACTCTTTGCTGTAAAAGTTGGGCATAAGGCACCTTTCCAACCACAGAGAGCATGTCAAAAGCTACCACCCAGGTTGTGTCGACTTTGGCCCCATTTCAGCCAAGTTCCCAGACTTTTCCAGGCTCACTGAAATTCCCCGGTAACTAGAGGTTCCCCATGTGGCAGTGGCCATGTACACACTCCTTAGTGCAAAAACAAAACTTTTTCCGTGTCGTTCCACCAAAGACTGGATCGAAGAGGCACGTTTGTTGCCATCAGGCAGACAGGCTGTCCAAGATGCGGTTGGCAGGAAACACTCCTTTCTCCGTGATGATGCCTCCTGTGATAAGCTCGGCGGGGGTCACGTCGAAAGCAGGGTTCCAGCACGTGATGCCTGTAAAATATGATGAAGGAACGGTAACCACCACCACGTCCCAGTGTGAGCACATTGAAGGACGACTCCGCTAAAGGCGAAAATTCCACACGAGGCAAACGTCTTTTTCAGATTACCGTAGTATCCCAAGAGATGACCAAGCCCTGAGAGGTAGCCCAACCTAAAGTCACTGGATCCTGGAAAAGTAACACCAGGCTCCCCGTATGGTCGCCATTTTGGCTTATGCAATCAGCCATTTCTGTTTGACCTCTCTGTTCGTGGTGAACCAATCTGAGTCCATTGGTGATGATTAGCTATGTAGAGACGTTTCTTGTATACTGAGATTCTGCCATCCACACACCGGCGAAACAAGCATACATTTTCGTACCGCCACCACATGCGGTGTCAGGGTTTGGAGGCATTAAAAAATAATTTTCTAGTCTTGAAATAGCCAAGAAGAACAATATCATTGTAAGAAATCCGACGAAGACTGATTAGCGAATCGCCTTGCGAGGTTTTGGTCGTCTTTATGTTAGTATCTGTTTGTGTCTCGTTAGCAGGCAGGGAAGGCAATGGCGCTACTTTCGCAGGATCCGGTGACTTTAGCCCACCCCAGCTTTAGCATCATTTCCTGCTCAGGCAAAAACACCAAAAGATAGCCCACTTCTTGAAATAACCCCATTTCGTCCACATGCCAGCATCACGGCCGCTGTTGTGGGGATGAATGGCAGCCATGCGGCTATAGCATAACCAAAATATCCAACTATAGTCTCAATCCAGCTTCTTTACTGATTGGGACGTGGAACGGTGGTATCTGGTATTGAGGCTACAAGCAAAAGGCAAAATGGCAGCGACTCGATCCACAGCAGCGGTTTTGTGGGCAAACAGGGCATATGAAATTAGGGAAAAAAAGCACAAAGTTGAACGACGTTTGGAATTGTAGTTGCCGTTACAATAACTGTATGGAACGAGTGATGGTAAAAAAAAAATTGTTTTAAACATTGTTCGGCGACTGTAAACCTACTCCAACATTCCGATTGCATGCATGGTGAGTTGTGTGAATAGACAGCAAAGAAACTGATTTTCACAGAAAAAAAACCAGGCACTGTCGGACCACGATTGTTTGTGCGGGAAGCACTTTGAGTTGAATTCACGAATACTTTTGGTTCGTCAATGTATTTCTTTTGTTCCAACATGAAATCAGGAAAACCGTCAACTTGCCCGGACCACCCACAGACCATGTTTACGTCTTCACGTTCAAACGGCCGTCCAATCCTCCAAACTGTCGTCTGCTCTTTCAAACTCATTCAAACTGTCAGCTGCTCCTTCAAACGACAGCGGCCGGTAGACCAAACATTGGGATAAAAAGTGCAGGTCCCAAAACACTTTTAAGTTTGAAGGTTGTTTGGGTTAAGGGGGCTTACTGCAAAACAGTACAGATACAAGGGGGTGTTGATCATTGTTAGCAGTGGCCATCACAGACTTGGTTATGCCTGATTCACTCGGTACGATTGTGCTCAGAGGCAGACCCTGACACTCCATTTGGGGAGACGGTTGCTTGAAGCAGAGGGGGGGGGGAAGGATGGTACCGCAAGCTGTGGGCGTTTTTGGGCGGTGCCCGTGGAATGCCAAAAGGCACCGACATGAGCTTTCCCAGGCCCCCAGCTCGCTGACAAAGGTTGATGAGGCACACTTTCCCAATAACTTATTTTTTCTCACTTCTAAAAAAAAAAAGTATTATACTGAAGAGGGGGGGGGGGGTCATTCCCCCCCCCCCCCCCCCCCTCCCGCCTCTTTCGTGGGATCTGCCACTGATTCTGCTCGCGATTTTCAGTATCGACATCGAGCATCGCAGCTACTATCCACGCTTTTGCAACCCGAGGGACGTAGCGACTGAAAATAGCAAGCAGAATGTCAACATGAGAATCAGGCTTTAGCATCCATTCTGAGGAGTTCATGCGAAATGAATCGCCGCATGCTAGATTATTTGCATGAAGTTTCGGCTGTAACGAACCTCGTTGATTTAGCTCGGGCCACTAAGCTAGTCCAACAATGCTAGGAAGACGCAGAATCAACAGTACCAACACGAAAAAGAGCACAGGGCCTCACATTGACGCCAACAACGTCGCATTTCAATATACTAGTTTGTTATGGGCAACGGCGAGCTTTTTGGCTACACTCCATCGCGCTTGCGCGGCGCGAGTGGCGTCTGCTAGGGGCGCTCTGGTTTGTTTGCAAACATAAGTTGGTGTATAGCTTATTCTTACCAAACCTGCTCTCAATTTTAAGCGGGCCATCTTTCGGGACATTACGGTAAGTGCACAACAATGTGACTGCATACCAAACGTTGCATTGAGACGGCATCAAATCCCAAATTAAGAGATGACAAGGACAACTTTGACATTTCTCTAAAAATAATGCTGCCTATGACTGGGTAATAAAAACTGCATTATTTAGAAAGAAAGCCTGCATGTCTACTTTCTGGCAGAGTGTGGGGATAGTGATGCTTTCCGAAACATGGTACATAACAGATGGCTATGTTCTTATCGTGCCGGGTTACACTGACTTCTTTTTGAATCGAAGCGGAAAATGAGGGGGAGTTGTTTGTATTTATGTTAGACAGGATATTTGATGCGAAATACTCAATGCCTTTACCGAAATTACAGACGACTATGAAATCGTAACTGTGAAGCACGGACGTCAGCTGCTTTCTGTTATGTATCGTCCGCCAGCTGGTAACTTTAATAAATTTTTGTCTTTTCTTGAGAGGTATCTTGATTTCATATCCTCAAATAACTACTATTCACTTGTTCTGGGCAGTGACTTAAATGTAAATAGTTTAGAAAACTCTTTTCTTTCCTCACAACTGAGTAAAATAATTAGGTAGTAGTAGTGGCTTTTGCAATGTGATTGTCCCCCCCCGAATTACCCGTTCTACGGCAAGTTGTATCCACATTTTTATTACCAATCTAAATACTATAGTTCGCAGTGCTGGTACTATTAGCAATGACATAAGCAATCATTTACCTTTTTTTTTTCTTTTTTTTTTTTTTTCAGACCCGTGATTTACTGAAAAGGGTCGATAGACCCTTAACTGTCCAAACGATAACTGACTGCCAACTGCAGTCCTTTCGAAGCACAGTTATGCAAACAGACTGGCTTCGGTCTTCTCAAAGCAATGCATGAACAAAGCACATGATGATTTTTTTATTGCATTGTTTCCATATAAGACGGCTACTGCTAAAAAACGAATAACAAAACCATGGGTCACACCACCTATTTTAACAATTATAAGAATCGCTTATATCAGGCGTACCTCTGTTCAAAAAGATGATGGTGACAATGCAATTTTCAAGAAGTATCGCAATCAACTCGCATTGCATTAAAAAGTCAAAAACAGAATATCAAAATTGTCTTTTTCATGATGCTCACAAGAAGCGTCCTGCGATTGTTTGGCAGTCGATAAACGAAGTGCCTAAACGCAGCAAGCAGAAGAATTCAATAGATGAACCTTCACTTTCTGGTGAAAGCGTGTACGGAATACAACTATCTGAGCTCTTTAAAAGACATTTTACTAAATTGCCTTCTGGCGCACACAATGAGCATGCTTCTTCAATTATCTTGCACCGTGTAGTAGACACCATTTTCCTACAATCAACAGACGAATTGGAAGTGATCCGTTTATTTATGGGATTGAATAACGGTAAAAGCCATGACATAGGCGATATACAAATAAAGCCCGTTAAATTTGTAATCGATGTGGTGGCCCCACTCTTGGTATATATATTTACCGTATTTTCCAGACTATAGTCCGCACCCGGTATATAGTCCGCAAAGGCAAATTTGGGGTCAAAAATGAAAGTTTTTGCTTAGTTAGTCCGCACCCGCTGTATAGTCTGCACCCAGTGCATAGTCCGCACCTGGTGCTTAGTCGACATGAAATTCTTCTCATACGCGGCACACCTTGACATATGTATGTTTTCTTAGCTCACAAAAAAAGCCTATAATATACATAAATTATCAATAACATACTCTTTTATTCACAAAATCCGTCCCGTCTCGTCGTAATCAACGATATTGAAAAACATAATTCCTGTATAGTCTGCACGCATAGATAGTCCGCACAGCCAGAATTTTCAACTTTTAAACATGTATAGTCCGCGGACTATAGCCCGGAAAATATGGTAACTTAGCAATGTCGAGTGGCCAATTTCCGAATAACATGAAACTTGCGAAAGTTTCAGTTTTGCATAAAGGTGGAGACAAAAATTTTGTTACAAATCACAGACCCATCTCAATTCTTCCAATATTTTCCAAAGGGCTGGAAAAAATTATATCGTTTAGACAAATATTTTATCCAGAAATCAGTGTTAACTGACTCCCAGTGCGGATTTTGCAAAGGAAAATCCACGGAAAGCGCTTTGATATCAAAGAAAGAAATAATATTACACAACATAGAATGCAAACGGCTGACACTGGGAATATTTATTGATTTTTAAAGCGTTCGATGGTCTTAACCATTCAATGCTCCTTGATAAAGTTTCCTGTTATGGCATACGTGGCACACCTTTGATACTTTTATTCATTGAAATTTGGAACATTGTAAGCAATGCGTCTCAGTGAATTATCATCTTTCCTCTTTACAAATCTTGAAGTTTGGTGTGCCCCAAGCCAGCATACCCGGCCCTCTGCTGTTCAATATGTATATAAACGACCTAGTAAATATTTGCAACCAAGCACATTTTATAATGTATGCAGACGACACGAGTATATTTCTATCTGCATCGAATATGCACAAAGTTATACCCATGGGAAGCTTAGCTCTGGAAAAGTTTCTTTCGTGGTCAACAACAAATGGTCTTAAGATAAACACTGTAAAGTCTAAAGCAATTTTGTTTAGATCTGTAAATAAGCACGTTATTAGTAATTATGCTCTAGAGATTGGCACCGACCAGATTGAAATAGTTAAACAGCACAAAAAGCTAGGTGTCATTTTTTCAAAACATATGCTATGGGACAAT